ATTGAACAACAGACTTGCAAGCCTAAATAACATAAAATAAATAATAAATATAAAATAAATTTTGTATAATTATGTACTTACCATTGAAGTCATTGTGTCTACATCTGTCTCTGGCTTAAAGTCTGACTTTTTTTGTTCAGAAGAAAGACAAATCTTTATCCAACCAGTGATAGCATTTAAAGATCTAAAATAAATTATTTATTAAATAAAGATATATAGTTAAATGTTTTGATATTTTTAAACAAACCTATCTAGACCAAAATCAATTTTAGATTCTATTTGTTCCAGTTTCTTTTTCTTAAAGCTTATGCATTGGGAATACTTAGGAGTTGTACTAAAAAATAAAACAAAATTCATTTATTAAATTTTAAATTCAATAATGGTGAAAATAAGAATAAAAATTATTACATACATAATTAAGGGGACTAATGTATCTGACAGCTGGTTTTCAAATAATAAAATTATTGCATTGACTTGTTTTATGACTTCAAAGAAGTAAACATTTGGTGGATCATGTGTCTTGGCTTCTGGGATGGGTACAGACTGTACAGCTAATTCTAAGCCATAATCAACATAATCTTCAATCAAGTAAGATGTTAGGATTTCAAAAATTTGATAGCTATTAGATGGGATATCAGATGATGAAGATAACTGAAAAATGTATTATGTTAACAGTTCAATTATTAATTTCTATAAATATAAAAAACAAGAGAACTCAGGAAAAAGTAAATAAAATCAATTATGCAAGTGATAAGTACCGTACAACACCGATCCAATGCTTGATTAAATTCTTGAATAAGAGAAGAAGCTACATATTCAGATAAAAATGTTTCTCCACCATAATCTTCAATGTGCATTATATTAAAATTTGTACGAGTGCTAATAACTGTTTGTAAATCTCTACGCAATTCTTGAAACCTGAAATAATTAAAATAATGACAAATATTATGTTTCATTAAAATATATAAATTGTTATTTTGTGACTTGTTAACAATATGGACCATAAGTATATCAACTTCTGTAGATTACATACCAGATCGATTACTAGGGGGACTTATTTTTGCTTCTTCCAAATAGAGKATATTTTTTTCACAGAGTTTAGAATAAAAAAAAACATTATGTCTTACATCAGTTGGCAGTAATAACAACAATGAATAAGTCGTGTTTTAAATTGGCCATACTATAATTATTATCTTAGAAGATCATATGCAATAGTTAGAGCTATATGTGTATCTCTCGTATACCGAGTTGAACCAATACTGGTTCACAATATTTATCCCTATTAAAGTATTAACAATTTTATTTCAGGGATCTAAACATAAGTGCACATTTGTCACATCAAAAATCCCTTTAAAATAACTAATAAGTGGAGCCAAAGCACAATAATTGATTAAGATACCTCCATTTATTGTGTACCTATTTATCTACTTGGTATAGTATATATCAATTGATCAACCATGATGAAAAATACAATTCTGAAAAAAAATCCTAATAAATAATATTTATTTGGTATATTGAAATTTTTAGGAGATTAAAAATATGAATATTTAATAGAAATATCTTTAATGGTCACATCACTTATGACAGATCTATGGACTGACTTTTGGGAAACACTGATGACATAAAATTATGAATTGTAATTGAATAGTAGTAGGTAGTATGAATAATCAATATAAGATACGACAGTATGTATAATGTATATACCCTAATCAGACAAGAAAAATACTACACATATTTCATAAATAGTAAGCAAATTATAATTACCCTCCAGCTTGAATTTGTTTTTTCTGGTGTCCTTTAGATTCATAAAACCGTTGTAAAATGATTAAACATTTTTCTTTAAGGTTTTTCAGTTCAGAACTGTAAATGGTAAAAAATGTTTATAAGACTAAATATTACACTCATAAGATTGAACTGACAAAAAACATACATGAAGTATGAATCCAAATACTTTTGAAATATATTCTTTTGCATTTTATTTAAAAACATATCATCGTTTCCCATATTTAAGTGTGAAAGATTTTTAGATAATATAGATGTTCTAAAAAAAAAAATTGAATTATGATTCTAATTCTAACGAAAAATTTGTGAATTATTGATTGGACACAAATATATAAAATAATAATTGAATAGTAAAAAGGATACATACTTTTTGTATAACTGAGATAGTTTTTCTAAATAGTTTGCCGTATCTTTAACTTCAGATAATATTGTGATAATATGGTTCTAAAATATTTAAAAATAAAAATAAAATGCACAATGGTATTTTAATAAATAAGACAACAAAAACATACTTGTAGTTTAAGTTGATAAATATTCAAAATAAATTTGGCCATAACTTGATCAGGATTAGAAAATACAGCTTCAATAATTTTTAGGTTGTTTTCACAAACAGGAATAATATCAGCAAAGAGATTTTTACCCGAAAGAGAGTTCTAAGGAAATATTTGTRACAAAACATTATTTATTCATGAATTAATAGAATATTATAGTACCGCTTGACTGTATTCRATGAATGCATCCACACATTGAGAATAACCTTTAAAATGAGTTAATATTGTTGCAATTTCATTCATTCGTACTACATTTTTTCGAGAGTGGTTTTTAATAAACTCTTCAATTAATAAACATTCAATTTCATCATATTTTTTAATTATTTTCATTTTGGCTTCCTCAAATCTAAAATGTTAAGTTTTACAACTTCAAAGTGAATTAAACTAGTATTTTGTCAAAAACTTACTTGCCTGGAGGAAGCTCTTGAGCTATAGGATATAATTTTTGGATCACATCAGCTGCATCATCAATCTAAATTGAGTTTACAATCACATGAATACTTCTTGTCATAATGTCAAAAAATATTTACATGTAATAGAAATGTTTTTACCTTTGTTGGATCATTGAAAATATCTATGGATAGTGGACCGGCCGACATAAACTCCTCTAAATATCCAATAAGTTTATGAACTTGAACAGCTCTTGAACGTGGTATATTAATTGATTCTAGTTGATCTCCAACATGAATAACTTTTGTGGCTACATAATTTATTCGTTCATCTAAATTTTGAAATATTGATATTCCAGCCTGTTTAAAAACATTGATATAATTTTAAATAATTTATTCAACAAAGAATTTAAATATTTTAAAGCAACCTAGAACAAATGTCCAAATTATTGTTCTTCATAAGCCGTGTCCACATCTAGCAAACATTTTATGAACGTTCGACCAAACGTTTATCGAACATCCAAAATATCCAACAAACATATCTGGTTGGTATAGGCGCGATCCCAAACAATTTTGTTTGTCAATGTCCCAAACAAAATTGTTAGCTAATTATTCGAACATTATGGCATACATTTTATGATAATAAAAACTATTTCATACAAATAACTGTTTATTTACTATGTATTATTATTTAATATACACTTGGAAGTGGGGGCAGTGGGGCTGATATTTAAAATCGCTCACGTGTCATGTACTATGTATAGCTGAAACCCGTACATCTATATACGCACAATTCACAGTAGGTACTGTCTCGTTTGTACACGAGTATATAATATTATTATGCTATTATTTATTATTAGCGCAAATCTTCTGTTATTAATGTTTTATTTTAAATATTATCGAAATAAATATCACTTGTTTATAATTTTATTTAAGATAAGAACAAATCACTTGCCAGTAAATCCAAAATGAAACACTCACCACTATAAGGTTTTTGACGTTGTAGTAGTTGTCTAACCCACCATCGTCTCTTACTTCTATGCTTAATATTTCTGTTAAAAGGATAATCCAAAACAAGGGCAAAATGAATAGGGCCATGTGGTGCCCATGCCCCACCCATTCACCATATTTTATACTTTTTATTACATTATTTAGAGATAAAAATACCTATGAGTTATAACTTATAATTTTATATAATTTTAATTTTTTGTTCTATCTCCCTAACCTTTGGTTCTTAAGATGTTTCTAAATACACCATTATCTACTACCTATTCYTTAAAACAGCTCACATCTAAATATCTCCATTAAATTAATTAACTTTTCTCATCTATTCCATTTCCAATTCATTGATCCAAATAATTAACTCTTCTCTAATTTTATATTAGTTAAATCCTCATACTTTTTTTTCAAAAACTAATAAATGTTTAAATAARTCAAACTTTAACTTGTATATTGGCGGTAGAATTGTCCTAAATTGATGTTAACATTCCRTGAACAAAAAAATCAAAAATATTAAATTTACCTTATTTTGCTCTTGAAGATTTTGAATTTGTATTGAATACAGAGATTCCTTTTCTCGACAAACTTGTTCTAATTTTTCACATTTTCTTTTTTGACGTTCTTGTAAAAATTTTAAGTCTCTGAAATCCAAGTAGTAAATCAATGGTCATAAATATTATTATTTATACTATTAGATTATTGTATTTCATTTTAATATCAAAGTATAATACTTAATTGCTTGTACAAATGTATCCTGAACATCGTCCACTACTGCATTATCATTGTCAGCACTGTTTCCAAACACTCGATGAGCTAAACGTTCGACAAATTCGTCAGGATCATATGGATCCTTAAACACAAATAACAACGAAATAAACATTTTATTTTATTTTGTATTAATAACTTCATAAACTAGATGATGTATACAATTTTACCTGTTCCATTTCTTTAATGTATTGTTGCATCATTTTGTTGGTGTTATTTTGTAAAATTTATAGCATAAGAACGGAAAATAAAAAAATAATCAGTCAACGTGAAATGTGCGGCAGCATATTAGACTTAAATTTTAAGAAATAATAACTTGGCGATAAGCATTTGATGAAAATATGTATAAAGTTAAATTAAAACGAAATTTTTGATCGGTGGACTATAGCGATACACGAATTGTGCCAATTGTTATCAGCTTATCACTGCAAAAAGAGGAGGGCGTTATCCTGATGATTTGGCCGAGACTGGACGGTCGTTGTAGACAACACGAAAATAACATTATGTCCGACAAATCACGTGAAATGGGTAAAACTAAACAATACTGTTTTTTATAGAAATACTTTTCAATCACCTCGGCAAGTTATCTATTTATTTAGATACGTTTTAGAATTTTATTTGAATATAAGTTTTGAAAATTTTAAATTTTGTGTTAAACTTCATTGTCGTTCACCGAACCGACAGGTGTTCAACTGTGAAACATACGTTATCCTCCAGAATTTTGTCGTTCCCGAGTTTTCGGTACGAGTGTATCGTTACCATCCAGGCGGTCTAATCTGCCATCAGTTGTTTCGCGCCCATTTGCCTTGTTCCCGTTGGCCGTTCCTGAACACGACCGTTGATAATAACAAACATTTAAAACGACACGGCTTTGTAGTTCATATTTCACAATAAGTACATAAATTACATAAAAATATAAAATATAACTGTTCTCTCCGTCTTTGGTTTCTCGTTCGCGTTTCTCAATCGTGCATATCTCTCTCCGAAAATATTTTCAATTTGAGGAGATCAAACTCAAATTTCGATCTAATCAATCACTGGTAAGTGTGAGTTTTTTTTAAAACAATTATCAGCGTAGGTTTGAATAATCGCTATATTGTTGCCGTATTTGATTTTTGTATAACAAATTGGTGCATTTACTACCATAGCTTTAATAGATTAGAATCAAAGTGTTTCACAACGTGTCACCAAATGATGAACTTTGTACGTTGAATTTAAAAGTATAATTTTTTTGCATACCTTGCTTTTATTGATTTAAAAAGAGAAACCGTATTTTAATAACTGCAATGTTAACTTTATTATAAGGCACTTTTATAATTAATAAGAAAAATTAGAATTACATGACACCATGGTGAATCTACAAAAAAAGTCCGGTAAAAAAATACAATTAATGCAATTATTACAATCAATATTATAGGTAGGTACTATAAAAATTAAAATATTACATACAATAATATGACATTATAATTTTTTGGTCAGATTAATTGTTACTTTTAAATAAAAATAAAATATACAAAAATAAAATTTCATGWCATACAAGAAAACATTAATCACCTTGGCTGTGTCCTAATATTATGTCCCACTTGAGTTAAAAATTCTTCAACACTTAGCTCGGAGTTATGAATTCCTAACCAAAAAATTATGTCGTATTTTTATTTTTATTGTATCTATCTATAACATTGATTGTAATAATTTTATTATAAATTATTGCTATTATTTTTAATAACATTAATGTTTTCTTGTACGACAGTAATAAATAAACCGGACTTTTGTTCGCTGGACTTTTTTCGCGGGTCTTTTTTTACCGGACTTTTAGGTAGAATACCCACCATGGTCTACACTCTACGTGACTGCGTAACTCATAAAAAAAAGATTAAAACATCATAATACAAAAGTAATAAAAAACATAACTTAGAATTAGATTATAACAAAAGAATAGTGTCTAACTTCAATAGTTTTAATGTTGATTAGGTAACACAAATTGGTTGGTTTTGGTTTTTGAAATATTAATCTTACGCTGCACAGTTTATATTAGGATTTTCCTTTTCTTATTAGCAAATTGATGACCAACCTTTGTCTTGCCAAGTCCTTATAGAAGTTGTCCATKACCAATTTTTAAGTTGAAATAATTTTTATATCCATCCCTAGAATATTTAAATTTTCTTTTTTTCATTATTATAGTATTAAATTTTCTATTATTGATAGGCTTGGATGGAACCATCAAACTACATTGAAAGTATCAGAAGGTTTCTCCAAATCTGACCCTTTAGAAAGAGTACACATTATAAATTAAAAATAATAATCCTTATGAGTTTATGTAGTATTATAGTAGACATTATAAATAACTTAAACCAGTTAATGAATCATTTAAATTTTTTAACAATAAAATAATTGGAAATATTCATGACTTTGATGAGTTATGTCAAGATTTAAACTTTAAATTATAAAGAAGCTCGTAGGTATTTACATATTTTTTAAACTTCTATTAAAACAACTTATGAGGAGCCTCATATTAAATTTTCAAGCATTTTTAAATAACTAAAAATGTTATTGGTTTTTGTAAGAAAAAAGATTGAAAATTTCTCATGCCTATAAATAGTCTAAAAACTATCATAATATTTTGAAAATGCTAATTTAAATATTTGTTGAAAATTATTATGGTATAATAACTGTATGTCAGATATCTGCAGACTGGATAACAGTTATTTTATTTATGAGTTATAAGAAACTAAGAACATTGTTATATGAGAAATTAAGAAAGTGTTTGCTTATAGGAATATCCCAGAATATCTTATGTCGAAAAAATTTAACTTCAAATGTTCACCAATAATATATTCTGTTTTTCATCATTTTTTTTTTTTTAAGGTAGACAAACTTTAAAAATCTTATAATGATTTGTAAAATCTTAAGTATTAATTGTGACCCTATAAGCAAAAATTATTTGCATACTTTTGTGATTTTGTCTAATTTTGTTAAAATCTTTACTTAAAAATTAATTGTGAATTATGCTCAACTTTTTTTTTTATTACACTAATAATAACTTATGAGATACCTTATCGTTAATGTTATTACAGACATTACAGTTATTTAGTTGTCAAGTTTTGCCTATACAACAAGTTTAACACATTTTAAAATGACTWAGAATTTTTTTAGTTTAAACCCCCAGAAGGGGAGAACCCAGTATCAAAATATTAACTTGATTTAATTTTGCTAACAGAAACCAATCTTAAAATTTAAAATCAAAGAATTTTTACATTTCAAAAAGTGTTCATACAATAAAAATGTTAAACAAAATGCTCTGCTTAGAATTTAAAATGTGGTCACACATTTATTTTTCTATCATAAAGTAATGGTCATCATTATTACTAAATATATATTGTGTAATCACGATTTAAGGTAACACTTAATATGTCTGGTACATGACCTTGTATTGCAATTAGGTTTTCGGGAGGTGATAGGGAGTAATTTAATACATATTTTCAAATAAATTTCAAATTTTTAACACTATTGGTGTGCGCATGCACAATACAACTTACATTTTTTGAAATGGAAACAATATTTTTTTTTCTACATATTCGGATAGATTATTTTTTTTTAAACATTTTTTGTATCAAAAGTTTTTTCTATTTACAAAACTGACCAAGTTAGAGTAATTCATAATTTGGATTTATGCATTACACGTGTTTAATGCAATTTTCATTTATAACCACTGGAAATAATAACATAATAACATAAGAGCATAAATGTTTAATTTACTTAATCTGTTTACAAATAATTATTTATTAATACTGTTGATCATTACAATGAGTATCTCGAGTATATGATGATTTTTTTTAGTAATCTGCTGTAATAGGATTACAATTTTAACTATTTTTATATCACCTTCCAAAAACCCAATTGTAATACAAGGTCATCCACCTGACATATTATTTAGTGTTACCTTATATCGTGATCATACTGTAGATATGTATCCTAAATTTAGTTTGTTGGTTTTTTTTTCAAATTAATTAATAATATAATTTCCCTATTAGGAAGATTAGGAAGAAAATTCTAAAATGTTGTATATTTGAATTAGATAGTTGAAATAAATTTTTGTTTTGCTTATATTGAAATTTGTTTATTTACCTACTTACAGGTAGTATAATATTGGTTTTGTACAAAATGGCTATGGCATCAACTTCACATGTTGAAGAAGCTGTTGTTGAAGATCATGAAGAAGATGATGGACCATTACTTATTTCAAAACTTGAAGTAAAGTTAATCATAATAATTAATTAAACTAATACTGTTTGATATGTTGAAAAGTTACATTAAACTAGTTACTTGTATTAAATGTACCTATTTTAGAGTAGGTTCGTAAATACATGTGTAATGTAATTGAAATTATGAACAATTTTTGTTTTGATTAATTAATTGTGTATAGTATTTGAGATAATTAATTTTGTAAATTTAATGGTACAGGGCCAAGGAATTACTAGTGGAGATATTAAAAAGCTTCAAGAAGCTGGATATCACACAATAGAATCTATTGCTTTTGCGACAAAAAAACATCTCATTACCATTAAAGGCATAAGTGAAGCAAAAGCTGATAAAATATTGGTAAACTATTTAAATATAATATACTTAAATATTTATTTTATAACAACTACCTTATAGATTTTGAAATATTTGTTTTACATATCCATAATTATTCATCATAGGCTGAAGCATCAAAAATGGTCCCTCTTGGTTTTACTTCTGCTACAATATTTCATCTAAAGAGATCTGAAATTATTCAATTAACTACCGGTTCAAAAGAATTAGACCGTTTATTAGGGGGAGGCATTGAAACTGGTTCAATCACAGAAATATTTGGGGAGTTTAGAACTGGTAAAACACAACTGTGCCATACTTTGGCTGTAACTTGTCAGGTAAAGATAATTAATTTATTAAAAGCTAACCGTATTAAAATGATCAGTACTAAATTTTTAAAATTTATTTTGCTTTGTTATTTTCAAGTTTTGGCAGAATTTAATACTGTATTATATTTTTAAAATTTGTTAACATTAAACATGACTAAAAAATGAAACAGTTATAAAGTATAAATCACTTAATTAGTTTTATATTTTTTAGCTTCCTATTGGTCAAAATGGAGGAGAAGGAAAATGCCTCTATATTGACACTGAAGGTACATTCCGGCCTGAACGATTGCTTTCAGTAGCTGAAAGATATCAGTTGGTAGGAAGTGATGTACTTGATAATATTGCTTGTGCCAGAGCATATAACACAGATCACCAAACACAACTATTATTGCAAGCTGGCGCTATGATGGCTGAATCTAGGTAAAATATTTTATACTATAACTATAATCTTGTCCACAACTTTATATCTTTATTGATCACAATTTGATTGCAGGGGTTAAGTGTTTTTTATCAATAGTCAAATCTGGGTCTAGGACTTTTCGGCGCTGCCATTTCGGCGCTGTCGTATCGGCGATAGATATTTTCGGCGCTGCCGTTTCGGCGACGCCGATTTGGCGATAATGACAATATTCACGTTATAGTGAACATTTTTTTAGTAAAAAATTATGTTTAATTTATGGTCTCATAAAAAATATTATTAGGAAAAAAAATAATATAGTCAATTAATATTAATTACTAATTACTAAT